CTACCCGTAGTGATTCTATAGGAAAGGGTACTACCCCCCACCCCCCATGCGTTTCTGAGACTGTAACTCTTTGGGAGTGCAGAAAGTCTTCCCACGGAGCAGCTGATGGTTTCCAACTGTTGACTTTCTGCCTAGCTGCCCAGTGCGTAACCACTAAGCCACCAAGGCTACAGTGCTTAGCCCACTGCACCACCAGATCTCCTGAGATAAATGAGGGATAGAAGTTATAACAGTAGCACTATCGTAATTTATGATAATGAGAGATAGATAAATGAGAAATAGACATTATAACAGTAGCACTATAAATGAGAGATGAATGAGCTAAATGAGAGATAGACATTATACATGGGAGATAGACATTATAACAGTACCACTATCATAATTTAAATAAGGGTAGTATTGGGGAGGCAGGGTGGGGCTTTGAAACTATTTGGCCAAAGTTCAAATGACTGCTGTGACAATGTCACATTCTGGGGGCATCAGCTAGTCATGTATGGGACCCTCAGTCTTCCTGGGGAATGCAGACCAATAGCATGCACTTTGCGGAAATAAGTCTCCAGACTGAGACCAGACTTACATTGCAGAGTAGAGTTGGACTGGAGCAGTCTTGGTTTCCTCAGAAACCCTGGTGGAGCGATGCCTTCCCAGGTTCTCTCTTTATTCGAATGCAGGTCTGAACTAGCCCAGGCAGAGCAAGGTGGGGAGGGGGAAAGGCTTGCATTTTCTGGTTGATATGGGTATACAAAAAGTTCCACAACATTGAAACAAACAGTCCAAACAAAAGCATGGAAGGGAAAATAATGAACAACTCACGTATCTTTTGCTCTGAAGCCTGCTTGTGGGGTGTTATAAAAGCTTGTCCTCAGAGAACTGTATTTTATTTACTTGATGTTACAGGAAATTATTTCTGTCTTGTATCAACATCATCTAGACATTGAGTCAGCTTTACCTGGGATAGACAGACCCACAATTTAATTCTGTGGACTTTGACTGATGTTGGGGTAGCAACAGTACTTGTTTAGCTCCCTCTCTTACTGGTTCCCACTGTTGCTATGGTCTTGGGGTTCCTCTTTGACGGCTGAAAACTGATGTGAGAATAAAGAGTCCTCCCAGGTGTAGGGCAGAGGAGGGGGACAGAGCTTCTTGCTTGCAAACCAATGAATGCCAACAGCACAACAGTAGGAGGACGTTAAGAGGTCACTAAAATACATTAATACTGAATAGACAGCCAGCCCTAGTGTCTAGCAAAAAGTGAATGGCCTTACTGACAACATCAGCACATACACACATCTCCTCCAGTGTGAGGTCAATGTTGCTGGAAGAGTGAGGGAACCTGGGCCCCATCAACGAGTAAAATCCGTTGCCATCAAGATTTGCTAGGACCATTCATAAGCGTGGTATCGTGGAGTCCCACACTAGAAACATATGGAAGGCTTCCCTCGTGCCCCCATGTTTCAGGGGGGACCTCTTTTTACAAAAGTCACTCTGAAAACAGACATAAGCTTCCCACAAATTTAACAGAGGACCCAGAGTCTAGACTGTGTGGAGGGGTCCTGTGACTGACGATGCCTGCAATAGTCATTGCTCAATAATGCTGGCATTTTTTGGTGTTCTCTCCATCCCTCCTCTAGCTCCCAGTTGTTATACACTAAGACTGCTGCCATAAGGTGCCCTTTTAGGTCACTTTGGGGTCCCCTAGCTTTATATTGGAGCTTCCTGCAGATATTTGCAGTAGATTGAGTCACAGAGTGGTTATTTAGGACAACTTTCTCTTTGGCTGATTCTAAACGTAAATTAGTAAATCTTTGAATTGCTTCTAATAGGCTGAACTCTCGTCCTTGCTCTGGGCCCACTCGGCCAGTTTTGAATAATTTACAGTTTTGACCGGAAGGCCCTTATTCTTTCTGTAAGGTCAGTTTGCGTCAAACCTTTGAGCAGCCTCCTCTCTGCCATTGCCTGACCTTCTGGAGAGTTCCTCTGAGGTTTTTGTTCAGGCTTGGCTGTGGCTCCATCAAGTCAGTTTACATGTGTGGCATGTAGCTGTCAGCTCAGTGCCTAGCAGCTTCCACTGGACATTGTTTCTCCTCAGCCCTGCAACAGTGAGATGAGAGGACAATGAGGGCCCTCGAAGTCTGGTCAAAAACAGCCAGCTTGTGCCGAAATTCTTCAGGAAAACACCCAGGATCATTAGGAAAAACTTCCCATCTTATCCATGCAAGTTTTTCAATATCCCGTACGTTGAAGACATACACACTCATGATAGTTCTACTAGATCATGCCCCCTCCTGAAGAGGGCGCAGTGAAGGATGATCCATGGTTCCTCTTATTCCTGGAACTAGAGCTGGGCGGAAGGGCATCAGGATGAGGGTGACCTCCACTCAGCAATTGCCGCTGGGGTCAAGGGCCCAGCCCTCCTTTAGACAGGATCGCTCCAACTGTGAGAAGGTCTTGTAACTCAGAAACCCATTAGCTAGACAAGTTTCAGAATCTCCTAGGTGGTACAGAGGCCAGGTAGTATTAGAAAAGAAAACCATTTTCTTCCACTTCAGGCTGTCTAGAAATCATTTCTGAGCCTTCCAGTTCTTCAACAGGTTTCCCAAAAGGCCATGATCACGTATGAATGTTCCGTGCCCGACCTCTCTGTTAATGAATAAGAGGTGGGCGGAGTCCCTGGCCTCTGGCATCCCAGGAACAGGACTCTATGACAACTCTAGAAATCGACCCTGGGGTGTGTTCCTCTCAGCCCTCTGAGGCGGGCTGCACCACCTTCCCCGGTTGGAACTGCTGAGTGCAGCTCAGCTTCTTCTTGATTCCTTTCAGCCCTCCTCTCCACAGCTAGTCCTTCCTACTCAGGCCAAGCCTACCAAAGGATGCACATGATTTCCTTTGGATTCCTATTAACATTCCAAAGGGAAAAGGGAA